AAAGTGAGACAAGTTCTTCCACCACTCCATTAATCTCTTCCTCTCCTTTCCTTTCCAAGTTCTCACTCACTCGTTTTGATTCCTTTCTTATTTCCTCCCCAATTTTATCCAAAATTATTTTCCTTATCGCTTTTGCAATCTCTTCATCTTGAAGTTTCCCATTCTCATCCCTCAAAGCTTCTACTCCCACTCCAATGGCATCCACAATTCTTGCATTAAATGGTTGGTCAATTTGCATAGGCATGGCGATTATTGGGACGCCAAATTTTATGCTTTCCAGTGTAGAACTCCATCCACAGTGACTGACGAAGCCACCAATGCTCGGGTGGCCTAAAATTTTGGCTTGCGGCGCCCAACCTTCCACGACAAGACCTCGATCTCCTACCCTTTCTAGAAATTCTTGGGGCAGTGCCTCTTCGATCTTTATTTTTTCCGTCGAAGGAAATCTACATTGTAAGTGGTATAATTTTATATACTTTCATTAGCACGATTCAATACAAACAAACAGAAATTCAGAGTTCAAAATCTTGTCACTAGTCTATTCACTTGTAAAAATTGTAGTATGTTTCGCATACATGTATGGAAGACATAATTTCAATAAGAAAATTACAACACTTGTCCCTAACTTATTGCCTAATTAACAAGTTGATACTTAATTTTTCAAATGAGCAAGTCAGCATTATAAAATAATCCTTGGTCGCATAAACCATTCATATGCGATCCTCATATCAAATTATGTTGAACTTTTGTTATTGACTGTAAGCTGGTATCTGAAAAATTGAAGTTTTGCATTGTTTTCACGAAGTTCATGCAGTGATTTAATACTGATTAATTTTAATAATTTTCATATCAACCTTGCAACTATAATAAAAGTTTGAAGATCAACATGCTGTAAGATAGCAAGTTCAAGGACTACTGTTGCAATTTTTCCATTTAAAGTAGGTTTGACCAAAAATATTTTGGGACTTTTAGACGGTTTAACGTAGTACCTGATAACCCACACGAAGTTAACCTGGCTAAGCTCTAGTGCCTTCGCTACTTCAAGTCTCTCTTCCTTGGACAGAAAATATTCACTGCCAAAAGAAACAAACACTACTGAATTCTTCTCCTTCTTGTCAAGCCATTCCATTATCTCCTTATTTTCGTCTTCAATCACAGGATCTTGAAAAAGTGTGCCTACAGGGACAATCTTCTTGTTACATATATTTGACAGAAAATCTATGTATTTTCCTTCAATCTCTCGAGAAGTTTTGATAAGAACAATGTTTTTTGATTTTGCCAGAGCAGCAAAAGCCCGAACACTCTCTTTAACATTGCCCACTTGTGACTCCCCTAAGTCTTGAATCTTATTTCTCTCGAACTGCCTCAGATTAATCTCTGGAAACGGGAATGCTTCATCTGGTTTTTGATTCACGAAAAGATTAAAACAAGTGATTGTTGCACTGACTGTGAGAAACTGCACCGCCGGGATTCCACGGCAAGAAGCCAGTTCTGCCACCCACGGCTGATTATAGTCGTAAATAACGATTTGGGGTTTTACAGTATCAAGAATGTTAGATAAGTTAGGGCTTGATTCCTCAAAGGCTTTTTTGAGGGTTGTCATGAGGTGGGGTGGTAGGCCATTCGTTGTATGGTAAGGTGGAGGTAGTTCAGGGTAAGAAGGAAGAGTTAGCTCAACGAGTTGGATTGAGTCAGTGAATTTTTCTGGGATTTTTTTCTTGACTGAAGTGAGATTTACAGCAGTTGAACACAAATGGATATGGAAATTTCTGTATACAAGTCTTTTGGCTAGTTCTAGATATGGTGAAATGTGTCCATGGGCTAGCCATGGCAACATTAGTACATGAATTGTGTTTCTTCTGCCTTCCATGATTTCTCTCAAGAGTACTAAATGGATACGAGTGAGAACTGCAGTATTTATAACAGACAGTGGAACCATTGCGAAGCAAGAAGAAGGCTCCAGCTGGTTACACGAGACGTAAGAATTTTGTCGACGTTCTTCACATAAATCTACATTTAAAGATTCAAAAAATTAAACAAATAATGTGATCAGTTTACAATTTAAATTGTCATGTACAGTCGGTGCAGGGAGGAGCAGATTGATATTTTATTTATGTCCCTTACTCTTATGAAACGAACAAGATCACGTCTTCTTTCAACCAGTCCTCGCAAGTTTTCTTTTTCTATTGGAGAATCGAGCAGATTCTACAAGTTGATTACGTGGTTCATGTTTGGTCACCCACGTAATTTACTTATTAATAAATCTCCAATAATTGTAATCCAATTGCTCGAACCGTGTGCAGGCACCCTTCTCAAAGACAAACAAACAAAGTTTTACCAATGATACTTCACATACAGTGTAAAGATACGAATGTAATGAATAGTGTTACACCAATACACCAAATATAAGAATTTTAATTTAACTCTATTTTTTTCCTTGTTCACACTTTATAAAATGCCGCTCATTAATTTAATTTATGATTTGCTATATGATCATTTTTAATCATACATTTATATAATAAAATATTTTACACGTATACCAAATTTTTTTCATACTTTTTAACTACACATTCTTCTAAAAATCACTATTCAAAACTCTTTATTTTTCTACAATAATGGTTGTCAAACCGGGTTCAAAAATTTTTCTTCCATATATATCTTCATTTAATATTTTAATATTAATAGATTTTAAATTATTCATAATTATTTATATTTTAATTGATTCATAATTATTTTAATATGTTGAGTTATTTTTATTTAATATTTATTTTTAAATTCTAATAAATTAATAAGTAATAATTATTTCAACAATAAATTAAGCCAATGTTTCGTGGCTTTTAATTTAAAAAAAAATTATGTTTTGAAATTATGACACATGAGTAGTGACGAATTCAGAATTTTGAGTGAACACGAGCTGCCGTTGATAGCCACAGTAATAACAGACGTTGTGAACTCAAATTACTTATATTTTAGTTCGAATTGTAAGTATATGTGTACGTTATCTACCAGTTTAATAATGTTTATCGAGTAACAAATTAAAATTTGAAAAAAGGGTTCAATTATTTACTTTCTTGGTTTGATTTGCTAATAATTTCAGTATAATAGAAAAAATGACTATTATAATAATTTCATTGTAATGTTGAATTTTAATTAAAAAATTAAAAACAAAGAGGGAATATAATTATTACTTGTTACTTAATAAAAGAACATATAGAATTTTGTTACATGAAATGTCAACGTCCATCAAATGCCATAGTGATTTGTTTCATAATTCCAATGGTGATCACATGGTCAAATCTTTCAATTGCACTTATTTTTATAATGCGTATATGCTCTAAAATGATGAAAAATATTAAATTAAAATAATTTTAAAGGGATTGCTATAGTTGAGAGTTGAATCAAAGACTCTCATTTATTGACATAGTCCTTGAACTATGGATGTCAATGGATTGAATTTTGATCCGAATTCCATTCGAATCCGACGAAATTAATGGGAGATGGATTTTGAGTTTCAGTCCGATAATCCGTTAACTAAATGGATCAAATATGGATATAGGTCAATCTGATCAGATAACAATTCGATCTGATTTTTATAAATAATTGAGTCGGTAAAATATTTTTATGGCATATTGTTTGTCATTAAAATAAATAAAAAAATTTAGAATAAAAAAATAATCAAATTCAAAACATAAAAAAGTTTTCTCCTCCATAATCTAACCTAAAACTCATTTCTCTCCTCCACTGGATTATCTCCTCCCGCCGCCGCCTCTTCTCATCTCGGTTTCTCCTCCATCTCTCATCCCGCCACCTTCTTCTCCTATCAGTTTCTTCTCTTCCCGTCGTCACCGTTCTTCCCCTCCCGTCGCCACCTTTTTCACCAATGAATGGGAATTGATTTTCGTCTCCTCTGCAACGCTGCCGCCACCATTCACAGGTTCTCCGTCGTCTGTACATTTTCCTGCGGATCTGCATCATTCTCCATCCCTATCCCTCTCTCCCTCCGCGACGCTGCTGCCACCATTCACGGGTTCTCCGTTGTCTCCTTGCTTTTTGCCGCCTCTTTGGAGAACTCTATGTTCGATCCAACCATCGGCGCAGATCTGGAGCTCAGATCTATTGTTTCGTCTTTT